CGTTTGGCCCGCCGAGGTGGTGTCAAGCGTATCTCGGGCCTCATCTACGAGGAGACCCGCGGTGTGCTCAAGGTCTTCCTGGAGAACGTCATCCGTGATTCCGTCACCTACACTGAGCACGCCCGCCGCAAGACCGTCACGGCTCTTGATGTCGTGTACGCTCTGAAGCGACAGGGCCGCACTCTGTACGGCTTCGGTGGTTAAGCATCAGCTTAAGTTCATGAGCGCTGACATGCTCGAGTCACATCCAATCAAATTCAAGGGACTTTTCAGTCCCCCCTTTCATGTGAAGCCTCGTACACGCGATCTTTTTATTTTTTAATTTTCTTGCCCTGAGTGCCAATGCGCATATAAATTTCGTATGTCCGCGCCATTCCGCCTTCCGCGTAAGCACGAGCAATACTATTTACTGCAGAGATGGGCACCTTGTCAGATCGTTGTCTTCGCAGCCAACATAACACGACACACTTCAACGCCTCACTAGGTAACCTAAGTGAAAACAAACATCTTGAGTACTGTTCAAGCTGGTAACCGCGCTCGTAGGGTAATACTTTACTTTCATTTCTATTTGGAGCTTCGTCAAGGTTTTGCTAGCCCCTCTCTCACAACGTCCCAGTCGGAGAAGTCTCGCATAACACGGCCCACTCCCCATCTACGTGGGGCTCTCGGCGTCGGGTCGCTCCGCGTCTACCTGGTGGAGACCCGCGCCCCCGTCTTCGCCCCCCTCCCACCCTTTCCTACCGCAGTCGTCCCCCTCGCCCCAGCCCTTCGCTTGCTCGTCGCATAACGGGGAGCAGCCACACCCGCGGCCTCTTCCAGCTTGCGTCGCTTGGTCACCAGTGCCTCCACCTTCTCCTTCTGCTTGGCCTCCCCCCGGCGGGCGACTTGGTAGGCCCGCCGGTGCTTTCGCGGCATCATGATCTCGGCCAGCGCCTGCGCCTCGTCGTTCTCCGACGCGTCCTCGCCCCTCGTCTGACCTTTCTTGCGCATGCCCGAAGCTTGCGGCTGTGGGAGGACGTAGAGAACAAGAAGGATAGTCTCATGTCAGTCGGGAGGGGAAAAGGGGACATGCACCAGACATGCTCAGCTGACGCGCGCACACCGCTGCAACCTCCCATCCCTTCTCCTCCTCCCTTCCCGCGGCAAATCCGTGGCCGCCTCGCCACGAGTGAGGTCGACAATCTCAACATGTGGACGGCGCTTGTTAATCACTCGCCGTGCCCGCGATCGCCGAGGCGAGCAAACCGTAGGCACCCGTCCCGAGCCCCTTCAAGGGACCCATTTCTCTCCCACCCAACTGTCAACAGAATGCACGCATCGACCGAAACCACCCCCGGGTGTCCCCCTGACGCCTCGCGGCGCCGACGGGGCGGGTGAGGGAAC